AAGTAAGGTTAATGGTGATAATAAAATGGTAGAAAGAGGTAGAACGTGCATTTCGACCCAGCCGCGATAAGATAACCCTTTGGAAAGCAAGTCTAAGTAAACTTCTCCTAAATGTAAGGGCCAAGTTGCGTCATACTGAGAAAGAGATGAAACAAACTCATGAAATAAACAAAGTGGTACAGTTGGAAATGTGATTGCGACAGATGAGGTATGAAAAAAATCAGCTACACATTTTAAGGAGAAAGGTAAAATATATATAATATAGGAAGAATACACGTAAGAAAAAAAACACAAATCGAATCCAAACTAATTTCCTATTATCTCAAAAAAACAAAGTACTATATATGATAATATAGAATAAAAATACATATGAAATAACTTCATCTCATATTATTACATCTTTATTAATCTCCAATTATATCTTTACAATTCATATCGTTTCATCTCATTACTTTAAATATCATATCAACTCAAAAATTCAAGTCGAAAGTCAGCTTGAATCTCATCATACGTAATCTCAATCACTTTTAAATTATCTCAACTCATGCCATCTCAATTTATCTCGTCCAGTCTCATCAAGTCTCATCTTATCACATGTCATTACCACTCATTTCAACTCAACTCATCCAAAACGCAAATCATCACTGCTCATCTATTAGTATGTCATCTCATTTAATCTCATCAAATCTGATTTCAAATAATCTGATCTGAGATGTTATCACAGCATCGCATCTAATCACATTTCAATTCATCACGTCTCATCTCTTCATCTTTCACAGGACCTCATCTGATGTTATCTGTTTTGATCTCATCTCATTTGAACTTAACTCAACTCATCATATCCAATTCATCTCATTAACACTCAACTAAACACAATTGAATTTATCTCATACCATCTTATATTAGCTCATCTTAAATCATTTAAAGAAATATAATAATATTTCATCTTATCATATCTCATCAATTCTCAGAACATATCAACTGACCTTATCATAACACACTTCATTTCATCTAATGTAAACTCAGATCAACTCAACTTTTTACATATCTTATTACTTCTCGATTCATATTATGCAAATGCATCTCATCGCATCTTAGTTCAAATTATCTAAGCTCATCACATTTCATCTCATCTCAACTCATCTCATCATTTTTCAACTCAATAAATCTCATATATCTCATTTCATCTTATTTAATTCAATCTAAACTTATCTCATGCCACATCAACTCATTACATTCTCATCTCATAATATCTTATCTTATCTCATCGCATTAACTCTTAATTCATTACATCCAAACTCAACAAATTTCATGACATCCCATGTCAATTAATATGACCACTTTTCATCTTATCTAATCACATCTTATCTCATCTTAACTCATCTCATTTCATAATTTCCCATCTGAACTCTTCTCATATACCCATAGCCTATCACATCTCAACTCATCTCATGGCTTCAAATCTCATCAAATCTCATCTCTTCATATCTCAGCTCAACAATTCTAAATACATCTCATCTTATCTAGTCTCATATTAATTTTCCTTTTCTCATAGCACTGCATATTATCTAATCTCGTAGATACGAAGAGAAACTTGGTTTCGATGAATCTCCTGAGATAACATTGTTAGGAGGACCTTCATTTCGGATGAATGTGCATGAAGAAGAGATTCGTTGGTCAATCTCACCAGATGAAGACTGATGAACTCGTTTTACTGTAACCGTTTGGCTTTTATACGATGTTCATGTTGACGCAGTCCACGAGACTTCCTTCTTCATTTCCGGTGAGAACGTGCTGAGCTTTCGTTCATCATTCGATGGACATCATCAGAGCGACTCAATATGTGTGCTCAGTGATGGTTTTAACTTCACTCACATTCGTATAACATGTTAGAGTAAGCTTATCAACTAAACCAGACATGTCAGCTTACGAAACCCCAGTCTTGCCTTTCCTCGGAGGGTTAAACGTTAATGACCCTTTACCTAAAGGTTAGGACAAGTGGTTTCATAACTTGATTTTCATGCTTAAAAGCTCATATCTCATCATCTCAACCATACTTGTTTACGGACCTACGCAGTCTCGTTCAAGGATTTCTCTTGGGTCATTAGGGCTTAAGGATCAGAGCCTGAGATTCAACCTTTGACAACTCTGATTTAGGAACCGTATTGCATATAGACGCTAACACGCAAAAATACACATACTCGTATAATCGAGCAATAATAACAGAACCAGCATGAAAGAAAATTAACCAAACCACTCTCTATCGATCTATCTAGGTTTTGAATTTTGAATTTTTTGGCTCGATTGGGTCTATATAAGAAGAAAGATAGATGCGGATAGTGTTTTTGCTTTAGTGTTAACATAAGACTTTTACAAGAATGATACCCAACTCTGATCATGTACATCATGTGATGGACAAAAGCTCAGCAAATTTTTACCGGAAACGAGGGGGGAAATCTTGTGGATTGCGTCAACATGAATATCGTCTAAAATCCAAACAACTGCAGTACAACGAGATTCATCCGTCTTTATCTGCTGAGATTGACCAACGAATCTCTTCTTCATGCACTTTCATCCGAAATGAAGGTCCCCTTAATAATTTAATCTCATTACATCTCAATTCATTTCCTGTCATCACATTTTATCCCATCATATCTCATCTCATATCATCTCCCCTTAATCTAAGCTCATCTCATCTCAATTCATTTCTTCTCATTTATTTTTATCTTTACTCTTTCCATTTCATCTCATCACATCTCGTCTAATCTCATCTTTACTCCAATTTATTTTTTCTAATCTTAACTCATCCTATTTCCTCTGATCTTTTCTGATCTGCTCTTAATTCATTTCCCCTCATCTCATCTCATCTCCTCTCTTTGCATTTCATCACATTTTCTATCTTCCCACCTGCTCATCTTCGCTTGATGTAAGTTCGATCCCTTTCCAATTCGTGATAAGAGACGACTTGACAGTGAGGCCACGTTTCTTCGTCTGAATTGGTATTCCCTGCCGTTTCTCACAGATGATGCCTCTTCTGCTTGGCCTCGCCAACCTGGCACAGTTGAACTCTCTACCTCTAAGTCGTCGGGTGTCTCGGTCTCTGGTCTTCCTGAAGCTGGACTCTTGTCGTCCGTCTTGATGGGATTGCAAGAAATGACCAATTCGGTTGGCCCAATGTTCGCGGCCAAATTGGCCACTCGTGTTGGGTGTCTTCCGTTTGGTGAGGCCGCGACAGGAGAGCAGGGGCCAGAATGTGATGAATGTTCACGAAAGGGCATATATGATCTGGGCCGGTGATCGAGACGTGAGCCTACAACCAAGCTCTTGGCGACTCGTGCCAGGACTAGAGCTGTCCTGCAGGGCCGGGCCTCCGCAAATGCGACCTGTTCCGGTGAGGCAGGAAGAATCGTGTGCCAACCTGATAGGGGCAGATGAGCAGGACGGACAACAGCCTTACCTGCACCAGACGATGCAGTTTTGCTGGCCTTGCCGGCAGTGGATAGAGGAGCTGTGCTGGTGCTCAAGTTGTAGACTGACCAGTTGCCTGTTGGTGTGGCGGCGACATGTCCAGACGGATCGGAGACTGAGCCTGGGACCTGAATGCAGGTGTGCGTCTAAGGCGATTATTCACAATCAGAAAGATGAAATGATAAGAATGCTGGGTTGGGCTGCTTCTGGTAGTCTAAACGATCTAAGATAAGGAGAACTAATGAAATGAATTCATTCTCTAGCACTGCAACTTCTCAAAGTTGGACGAGAAGGCCCTTTCATGCGTCGTCGTAAAGAGGTATGGGTAAATCCTTCTTCTTTCCTACTTTATAATCTCTCTAAGGGCAAATTCACTCGAATGCTTGGTATTATTGAAAGAGGTGTTTGCTAAGAAATACTTACTCTATGAACAAAGTTATATAAAATTCGAGTTTTTAATTGAACTGGAAAAAGAGATAAAGTGTCTTTACGATAAAGTGATAATAACAGTTAATTGGGGGAGAATACTGTGTGGATAGGGTTTTGCAGATAAAAAGTAAGAATCACACAATTTCCATATCAGTTCACATGCTTAGGATGAATTCGGAAATCAATATTGTGAAATAAACTAACGCTAGTTGGCAACTGACGCAAACTAGTTAGCAAACGCCTCACCAAATAGGTGTAGATATGCAGGCGTCGGATGAAGAAGAAAGGCTTATGAGGCCTGGTGCTCAGAGTGCCATTATAGGAGCAAAAATGAGTAATTAACTTGCCAAGTATGGGATATGAAGATAAAAATAGGACGTGTATGTTCGTGATGGCAGGTTTTCACTAAGTCCAGGTTAATCTCCACGTAACCCAATCGTTGATGTAGCCAAGCTGAAACGGATTTAGCATATTTAAGTACTATTGTGCTTCTATTCACGGGACAGGCAGATTGGTTATCATCTGCTCGAAGCAGTGCAATATGCAAATTATTCTCTAGAGAGGTATCGTATTATAATGCTAGTTAAGAGATAATGTGTAAAATATTCTGTCAAATACGAGTCAGGTGCTGGTCCCCTAGAAAGGCAGGAAATTTTGTACATTGCATAAACATCGGAAAACATGTGATGGCTCATAAATGTTGATGAAAGAGGTTTCAAAGACTACTTTTCATTTTTTGTCCTTAAAGCCTTTGTTTCATAGCAGATTTTGGCCAGCAGTTTTCGGTAATTAATCTCAGCGCAATCTAAAGGTGATATTTTGTGGAATGACAAAGAAGTACGAGCATAAAAGTCAAATATGGATGGACATTTTTACATTCTCTTACTTCTAGCCTACTCTGACATGCTTACACTTGTCATAGCTTTAATCCAAAGATATACACATCTAAGCCATTGCCGCCAAATATTTTGGCTGCACTCAGCCTTTAATAAGAAACAAATTATAATGAGTATATAAACAGAATCATTTTTTATAAACATGACATAAATAGTGTAGATAAATACTCAGCCCTCATTAAATATATTTTAACCACAAGCAAACACCAGTAGATATTGTAGAAAATATAAGGTTCACCCTTTTTTAAAGAACGGAAAAGTTCTTTTTACCCTCAGTAATTTGACTAGTCTTTAAAAAGATGAAAGTAACCGTTTTAAACCCAGTAAATATTATATTACCATCATTTGAATATCAATTATTGTAACGAATTACGAAAGCGGAATTCATATTTAATTTGGGTGAATATCACCTTTCCCATATAAAGTATACCATAATCAAGAGTGTAATTTAGACACAAATGAGGGATGAATTTGCTTCATGATTATTTATGTTTATTTTTTATAAGTAGGCTTTCGAGGCTACCAGTTATTATCACCGTAAACGTAAAAGCATGAAAATATCTCATATTTATATTCACTCTCTTTACATTTATCGCCCACAAATAAGGCCTACCAAATCTATCACCTCTGTAAAAATGTAAGGAAAAAAAGCATTCCATTAATATACCCTAAATTAAGTATAAGAAAGTTAAGAATTTAATTCAGACATCGTATAAAGGTGTTCTAAGGTAGGAAAGTAACTCCAGGCACAGGATACTGACAAATTAATGATTGCTCAAAGCCATCTAATCTGCAGGAATATTGCCTAACTGTTTAAACTCAACTAACAATGGAATACTAGTCAGGTCAATCTTCAAGTATGCTTGCTTTTTTTAATTTTTTTACTTTTATTTGTATTTGTTGTCAGTATAAACGTGCTTTGTTGTGTATATTGCACTTCTTTATACAGAGGTTGGCGTGGAAGTCTCAGCAATATACCACGGAAAGAGAGTATTACTTACACGATTATTTTAATTATTTTGGAGACCATCCTTGTAATTACCTTTGAAGGATGAAATTACGTCATGGCCTGCTTACTTAGGAAGATAAATCATGATTTCATAAATGTTAGGCTTAATTTGATTTGCTTGATGTAAAAGGAACAGAAAACCGAAACTTACAGCATTAAGTAAAATACATTCTGTTAGTTAGGAATGGTTTTTGCTTTGCTAAGAGTCCTAAGTTAAAGGTATATATAGTAAAGAGAATATTTTGCTTGCAATACTCAATTTCAGTATAATACAGCGGTTTGCCCTTAGTTAAGGGGCATAAATGTGCTAGAGGCCTTCCACTATGTACATAAACTTATAATGAAAAAACTAAAACTTGAGATTTTAAGACAGCCTTAGACAAATAATGTTGAAAAAATTTAATATGGTACAGCCCAAATATCATGATAGGCATGGACATCAAAGATCAGAACGCTTAAGTTGGTCGAAATCAATTTTGAAACAGTAGAATAGATACTAGAGTCTCAACAATTACTAAAAAAATAATTATTAGTGAATCTGAAGACATTGCTAACGCCAATAAATTTATTTAAGAAAAGAATTATAAGAACAGTAAATTTTTGCAAAAAATGATAGCCAAAAAATATACCTTTTTGTCCAGTCTTAAAATTCGTCAAATTTCAGGATAATGCTGTTCAGAGTAAAAAATTCCCGGCCTTACCATGAATTTTATACTCTTTTTTTACTATTCTTATTTCAGATATATATTAGCTAATCGAAAATTACTAGAGTATTTAGTGATATACGAAATTTGGATAAAGATATTCGTATACTAAATAATGTATAATCCTATACATTAATGCATACTG